AAAATATAAAAATTATTTGATTGTTTATTAAACTAAACCAAAATATTTCCTTTTGTTTTTTTTTTTTTTTTGAAACGAATATTTCCTTTTGTTTTTAATGTAGCGAAGGCAGCCCGTTGAGGATAATTACGGAATGATTGGCCCATTTATTAAGGTAACTTGCAGACTTGAAAAACAAACAGATTCAGTCGGATACGTTTACGTTGGGTTGTCTTAAATTTTGAATTTAATATATTGAGTGATTTTAAATTTTAGGTTAAAAGATAAACTTATAATTTATCTATATAGGTTTTGGATTAGATGGATTTAACTTTTTAAAATATTAAAATTAAAATTAAATATTTTTAATATTTATTTTTTAATAAAAATTTAATATTAATTAATTATTTAGTAAATAAATTTATTAAAATTTATAATTTAATTAAAAAAATTAAATTTTATTTTATTTTATATTTAAAAATTAAATTAAAAGTATAATTAATCAAAATTTTAAAATTTTAAAAATTAATTAATTTTAGTGAGATTACTTTAGATTCACTTAACTTGATCCTAACCCAATTTAATCAAATTTGAATAATTTTGACTTAGATTATGTCGAATTCTGAATTAATATTTTAATGGTAATATTATACTTATAATAACATGTAGAATTACATAGAATTATAAATTTGTAATCTTACATGACATTTAATGTAGCATTAAATAAATAAATGCATATAATATCATAGGTGGACTCATGAATAAAAAGAGTTAATTATATAATGACACATTATGTTATACATTTACAATGGTATATGATATTATACCTATAATATTTTTGATATTTTAAACCCATGATTCTACTCAGAACCAATAAATTAAGTTAAAATTTTAAATTACATCTAATTTTATCAAGTCTAATAACTTGAACTGTAAATCTGGTGGTTTGGAGAGAAAGAGAGGGAAGGAAAAATAAATTAAACGACTTCAATTACCTCCCATCTTTTAAAATCTTTTTCTAATTAAACAAATGAATTTTTACGTTTTTTTTTTTCTTTCAAATTAAACATATAAAAGGTTTGAATTATTAGGAGTATTAAATAAAGTTGTTTTTATAGGCCAGGCTTAGTGTAAGGGTGTTGAGCTATAGTTGTAGTGGTAGGTTTTCGGACTTTTAATATTTTAAAAATATATAAATATATATTTAATATTTATTTTAAGTAACATTTTATATATTTTTAAATTATTAAAAATATAAAAATCAAAAGCCAAAATATGGGAAAACGGCTTCCAAACAAAACTTTAGTTTCATAATTTAAGTATTGGATTAGTACTTCCATAAAAAAAATAAAGTCTTCGATTAGTTTCCTAAAAAACTAATTTCATTTATACATCAGGCTAATATAAGTAATATATATTTAAAAAATTCCAGGATATATTTGTATTAAGTAGCAAAAAACTAAAACTAAAAAAATTACTCTGATTATAAAGGAGTGTTTGATGAAGTTGAAAAAGTAAATAACTTAAAAACTTAAAAAATAAATTTTTCCCTAATAAATTTAAAAATTTATTAAAAGAAAATTCTAAAATTAGTTTTTTAAGGTATTTTTAAAGTAAATCTTGAAAAAATTATGCATCCATACTTTTCAAATTTTACTTAAAATTACTATTTATAAAGTTAATTTTTAAATTTTTTCTAACAAAATTTTTGAATTTGTTAAAAAAATA